ACTGTGCTTAGAGTAAAGCTTAATTTCCTCTAAACGGGTCGAAACGAATAGTGCTATCAGAATGACAGCAAAAGTTTTGCTTCTCATGACAATTGTCAAAATTCTTTATCTGCGTATCTTTATCCATGTGCCTCGTGCGCTTCGGTTCCAAGTGGATAAAGCGGTGGCAAAGCTTTTCAATCTTATCATATAAGAATTTCAAACAAAGATAAATAAAGTTAGTCACTGGAAAAATTAACTGAACGGTTTTCACAATTGAACTTCACAGTTTTAATGATCTTGCCATCGGTTTTTCACACTATTTAAAAAGTCTACCTTAACATTTTACTATCGGCAAGCAAAAAAAAATCTGCTGCAAATAGATGGTGGTAATGTATTATGCTGCTGAACGAATTTTGTATGTTTCAAATGTTTTTATTCATCAAACTGTTGGGACATTTCTATATTTTTCTAAAAATTTACCTTTGAATGACATTTTTTCTGCAAAAAAAGGGCCAGAACTTTTTTTTCTTTTATTCTATGGTTCAGATACAGGGTACTTAATAATGGATCAAAGAAGTAAAAAAGGGCGGCAGAATTCAGATATACTTAACATCTTTCAACATCTAATTAGACTTATCACATCCGTCAATGTTGCTAGTACTTTAAATTTAGTAGGCTTTTAGGTTGGGTTATTTGCCGTAACTTAATCTGGATTATTTGTTTCAGCTGAAACACAGGCGTTAAATAAATGAGGATGAAACCGCACTTAGACTTATAAAAACAATGTTGCTCAATATTAAAAAAAAACGTGGTTTTGAACACTGGGTTTTCAGGTAACGCAAGGAAATGTTCTTGTTTTCGGTCTGATTTTTTTTATTTTGATTCTTTTTTTTTGTCTGGCACAGTTTACCGCTGATTAATTAGTTTTGCCGAGTACTGTCATATGTTATTTTTGTTGGTTAGCTAAGCTTCTAAAAAGTGGGCATTTGTTACTGTCATACTAACTGCTTACAGTTCATCTAACGTGTATTTAACTTTGTGGTGCCTTATTTCTTTTAAAGGTTTTGCTAAGTTTATTATGGCCAAATTTATTTGCTTA